TAGCCATTGAAATGCACAAAATGCGTTTGAAATAATATAAGATGTGATGCGTAGGTAGCGACATTGTTGTTGCCACCACAAAATCCCAAACAGAACCACAGAAACGCATTCACAATTGGCGTGGTTTTTGGTTCGATGCGCGGGCGATGTGCCCGCCGCGGCGCCCAATCCGACCGGAATGGCCTCCTCCGCCAAATGACGGCGGGCGGTCCGGGGCGCTCATTCTTTCGGGGTGCGCAGTGTGGGCCCAGTCCTGCGATCATCCGGGCATGGGGCGGCAGTGCGCGCAGTGAGTGCGCGACGCCGGTGCGGCCTGCGGGTGCAGCCGTGCGGAGGCAAGTGGTTAGCAAGAGTTACAACCATGGGGCACCGGGGCCACCCTTTGGCGTGCCTTGCATCACGTGACAATGCGGACAGTGTCACCGTATTGATAATATCTCATCCCTCAGTACGGTTGCGGAGGCGCCCTTAAGTACTACTTCTAATAGTAGAATTTCTAATGGCTATATCTCCACTACCGCTAACCCGAATGGCCTAATCCAAGAACCTATGGGTTCCTAGTAAGCTCAACTAAGGAATGAGATTGTTCATTATACCTCCCAGATATTCATAACCAAGGAAACACACTACCCCCTATGCTTTACACCATAACAATCAATCGTTGTCCAAATCCGTATCTGATGCAAAGCTGTCAAAATCCTCATCAACGCCTTCCTAGGTCATCAATAATTTTGACGGGAGATGCCCACATGTTCAGGTGGACGGCAGCCCTACCGTGTGGCCTGGTTGGTGCGCCTTTGCTCAAACTAAAAGCAAGTTTGGGCGAGCTTGGAGTAGAGTGTGAGGAGAATGGTTGTGAGAAGCGCCAGGGGTGACGTTTGGTCGTGTGGCATGCATGTCACCAGGCGTGGCCCAGTACTACCAACAACAACCATTGTGTTTTCCCCAACGGCCTGGAAAGTTCGAAGGAGACCACATGGTGCATGGCAGGCACGTGTGTATGTGGCTGACAGATTATGTTGCGCGTAGTTGAAGTGGTTGGATGCACTTTACAATAGTTGTTGCGCAACTGGGTGGTGCAGGATCCAGTGTGATTGCCACAGAGGCGAGAGCCATGTTGAGCATTGTTACAGAAACAAGCAAGGCCGCCAGGTCTACTAGCCACTCTAGGCCCGCAAATGTGCCATAGACGCCTGGCCTACAGTCACTCGACAAGCAAACAAAATCTTTCCCCATCACATTAGCTACTCCAGTTGTGAAGCTTGCAGCCATCATGTGCATCGCATTATTATGTGAGCAGCTTTTGGCAGTTGTTGCACGTTGAGGTCGTGCAACAAGAGTGTTGTGCAAACAAAGATATGCAAACTAGCTTTCTCTCCCCAAGGCGAATCCAACTATCCCTCTCGAGCTTGTTTGTGTTGAGATTTGGGGGTGGATATTAACACTGGGTAATGGATAGTATCCACTAGATACTAACGTGGTTTCGACCCCCAAAGAGGGAGGTGGATACTAATAGAGTGTACCTACTAATACCGGGTAAATATGATAATAAGGTCATAAGCCTCGTGTAGTTGCATGCATTCAACTTCTTTTTCTTTGACCATTGAGCAATGATGCATTTTGAAGTGGTCAGCTGCCACCTTGCCCTCAAGGTTTCTCTTCTATTGATACATCAATGGGAGTGCCCCTTGCAGCAAGGCTTGATTCTCTATGGGTGTCTAATTCTCAAGGTTCCATATTCCAATTTTAAAGCTATCAATGGCCCCTTCAAGCGCCTCCGCCACAATTTTGCACGCCTGTTTGGCCTCCTTGGCAAAGGCCTCCTGTGAGACTCCTTTTGCGATCTTCACCCTGTCTATCAGGTTTTCCTTCAAATTGGTCGCTACCCACTGTATGCACTCGGCACGGGGTATGGTCTTGTCCCATTTGTCCACCAGCACATTGTGTAAGTGGAATGCATCGACTCACACCGGGTCGTATATCCTATGATCTTGTGGGTCGTACACAAGCTCCTCCCCACCAAGAGGATGTTTGCACCTCGCCATCAGGTGTTTGAGCTAGAATATCTATTCCTCAACGTTTGACTATGAAGGAAAGCCCAACGCCCTTCGCCTAGAGTAGACGCATTCTGTCTCCACCTGAACGGGATCCTCCTCAACTGATATGTTGCTCTCTGACTCGAGTTGGACGCTTGCATAGACAAAGGCATGCCTCTTATATGCATGTGTTGTGTAAACTACTAGGGGGTAGCTGGTTTACTCCAATTATACACTGGGAAATGATAATGAACACAAGATTGCACCAAGATTGGACAGAGGAGGCTATTAGCTTTCCACAGGTCTTTGAATAATCCCAAACGGGCTAGCGGTAGAGGAGTTATAGCTTGTAGAAACTGCAGTACTGAAGGTTGGGGCCCAGGGATGAGATACTATCGATACGGGTACATTCGATACATTGTTCTGTCGATTGCGTACCGCTGCGTGCAGGGGTCATGTGACCGACCCCGCACGACAGCCCGTAATTCCTTCGTACCCACTCTTGCCTCCCAGCAGCTGCACCCGCAGGCCGCAAGGTGCCGCGCGCACCCACTGCGCGTACGGCCGCCCTGCGCCCGGCCAATCCGCAGGCCTGGGCCCACACTGCGCATCCGAAGAGACGACCGCCCCGCAAAGCCCGCCAGCCATCCGGCGGAGGGGGCCCTGCGGCCCCATCGGGCGCCTTGGTGGTTGCATCGCCTGCGAACACACCGAAAACCACGCCAGCATGGGTGACCACCTGCATCCCCTATTCATATAACTGCATCCTCATGTGATATTCTTGATGTAAAAAATCATACACCATTGATTTTTCTAACGAATAGAGGCAAATATACTGCCTCTACCCCATCCTTGGATACCTCTTTCGATTGTTTCTTCCCCGTCTCACCCACTCCAACCATGCCCAGAATGTCCTAATACCCAAGGACACTTTGTCATGGTCCAAAACATTCAGATCCCTATAGTCCAGCTCTTTTTTCCCTGCTGTATCCAATCTTTTCATGTATTGACCTTTGAATGACTTGTAAGCTATCTTCATTAATTCCTCATGTTTTCTTGAGTAGTTACATGCCTTTACCACCCAAAACTGATGAGTTTTGGAGCAGTTAGGCTCATTGGGTCAAGCACCCAAATTGCACCTGCTTCGGAGGTCTCTCGCAACCTCCCCTACGCATCATCGTCCAATCGACCCCATACACCGAACCCCTTGGGGCCCTGCATGCCTAGTCACTCCGCCAATTTGGCATCGCCCCATCATTTGCCCGTTCCAAAGCTGCCGTGTCATTGGTCCTCCAACATCCCCACCGGGGGATGACCGCAACGACATGTGACTCATGCCCGCCGGGCCGATTGCTCCACTGTGTGGAGGGCTTCGGCCCTCCTCATGTCTTCGTCTGGATCCCCCAGATTGTCTCAGTAGCCTCGTATGACATCCAGCCCAGAGTCGGCATCGTTGCCGTTCGGTTGGTCTGACATATTCCGCCGGGATTGCTATGTGTCACAAGTGCAGAGAGGTATAGCAGACGACCCTACATGCTTGGAACCAGTAACCACCCTGAGGCAAAGCCTCCCGATCTTTCGGCAAGGGCTATTTGACCGATGCGAGGATCCACTGTAGATAGCGTTTCCTCCCAGCTGTCAGACTAGTTTTGTGACGCCACCCTGTCAGAATCGGGTGAGGTACTGCACGCGTGCCGGGTGAAAATCGGATGTGAGTAACGATATTGGTCGATATCTCTGATGTGACTGATGATGTGGCATCTTTGGGAGTAGCCGATGACGACTTCTGTGGTCTGCTCCCTTGTCCGCGAAGTTCTGGGCCTAATGGGACGCCAGCTGAGCGACATGGTTACTAAGCTATCGTTAATGTTTTTCAGTTGATCATAGATTGGCAATCCGAAAAGTGGAGAGTGGAGGTGTGGGTGGGGTGGGGTGGGTCTGTATGCTGACGATGCATGCGTCCCACTTCCAATGCAATCCAAATGGCAATGCGGCTGCCCTGGTTGCAAGCCACGCTTTGTTCTGAAACCAGGGCAAGCATCCACAAGGTTTGCAGTAAAAGTCCATCAAATCTCGCAGGTTGGAGCAAATGTGCGAGGATCCAACATGGGTGCGTGTTTGTACAATCCAAGATGCATCGTCAGCACCCACCCCCTGGTTCCCCATTCGACCATTAAGCTCCCCCCTGGCCCCCTACTTCTTCCCCAGTGGATGGCGTGTAGTACCATGCTGCTTGTTGTGCCCGGAATCAAATAACGCATTTTTAGAGACGGCCAGTCTACAACACCAATGTGAAGCCAACGTCTAATTACAACATCATATCTGGAAGACAAGTTCCCGACACCCTGGGGGCCATGTTTCCTGACCATTCGCCATGAGGCCGTGGGAGCCATTGTAGAACTAACCACTCACTATGGAACATCATACTGGTGGTACTTGGTAGTACTTGATGGGGGTGAGATCCTCAGGATTTTGACTGTTGGACACTATTCGCACGGGTCTGAAGTGCTGCCAAATCCTTATCCTCCTCTGATTTCTGCGATGTTTGGATAGTAATGTATCTACTCGTAGTGGGTGCCTTGGCCTGAGTTTCAAGAGAAAATAACAAGTGCCTGATACAAATGAAACAACAGGCAAAGGCGAATTTGTTCCAGACAGATGAAGCAATATTAAAATTCAATGTCTGGGTATCTCCACAAAAAAAAACATTTGCAATATTGACTTCAGAATCAGATCTTGGTTGCATGTGACTATCCAGTCATCCATTCTCAAGTGCCCCTATCTAACACGGTGGGGTGCATCGATTGAGAATGCACACGATGGCCATCAAAACAGCCCATTGAAAGCATGCCAGCATCCTGGCACCCCAACAAACAATATGAAACATCAATCTTTGGTTACAACCAATGAGAGCGACAGCTGCCTGATCCTTGCCATGGTTGAGTCTGTGCTTTGGAGTTGCCTTCAGGACTTGTCGTCCTTCAAGATTCCCAGCACCTCATCCGCCCGGAATACATGCAGCCTGCAAGACACAGCAAGCAGTGCCATCACAAAAGCACAATCCAAGAAACTGCCAATGCCATTGCAGGAACTGCACAAAAGGGAAGGAAACCAACTAGGAAAGTTATCGGCCAGCATGTTGATCCCAACTGATACGCACTTGAGGATCCCAGCAAGAGTTAAGGAATCCACAAGAACAGCACATATCACTGCTAGCACTGTGGTTGTTCATAACCTCGGCATTTGCAAAATTATCATTGCTTACAAAGGTTGTATTCCTTGGCAATCTGCCCAATCAACTTTGGACAATTTTTGCTTGACACAAAGTCTGGAGAGTCAATGGCCCATGGAAAGTGGAGGAAGTCATCCCATTTGCCCATTACAACATTGTATCTGTGGGGCACTAGTGACCAGCAGGAAAATGGGGTGGGGTGGGGGTCAGAATACCCCTTTGCTAGAAGCGATTGGACAGAAAACCTGCGGGCACACTTATGGTTTCTGCCTTCCATCTTGTATGACAACACAATGCTGCCCATTCAAGCATGACTGTCGCCCATTCACACCCACAGCTGCATGGGTATGGCTTGGACAGTATGGCTCGGACTACATGCACAGTTTCTAGGGTCAGCAATCTTAACATCGCCTTTTTTCAGTTCTTGCTTGAAATCTTTCCAGAGGAGCGACATGTTGTTTCAGTAGGCTGGCAGCAAGGGCCAAGAACTTCGTCATTATGTGAAAAGCATTAAGAAGTTGTAGCACCGCAGCATGGCACACTTGCTTGAAGAGGTGTTGCTCATCATTGGGATAACTGTGTAACCAAGGCCAAAAATGGCTTCATCAGAGGCCAGTGTTCATGTTCACAATTGGGACACTCTGTGGCTGCACCTCCAATATGGAGACTGTCAATGCAGGTTGTTTAGGTGCAGGGCATGTGTGCGCAGTATCATGGTCTCAAGCACACACTGGCCAGCCAAACAAACTGATTTTGACTGACTTGCAACTTGGACTGGGCCAACTTGTCTTACATTCCAGTAACACTGGCCTATGACACAAACCAAACCTTTGTATCGGACACGGTCGTGCTGCAGCATTCCAGTGTTCAACAACAGCCAAAAGCCCCAAGCAAAAGGAAGTTACTTTCTTGCAATGTGTCAACCCGTGCAGCTCTTGGCAAAGTAGCACTTGCACATCTGTCCAGACATCAGTGCAAGCAACTGGCTAACATTGCCATGAGCATTGATTGTGCTTGTTGAATTCAACAGACGTAGATGGCCACAGTAGCAAAATGTGCTGCATTTGACATTTGGCCATACCATTTATACCAAACAGCATGGCTCACATGTGTAGCCAGCTGATTGGCACACTGCACCCACTAGACAGGCAGCGTGCAGAATTACTATTTGGAGACATAGATTACCCGACATAGATGGGATGATGTTCTGGCCATTACCAGCTGCAAGATATAAAGGCCGCTGTTTCAGGTGTTTGCTTCACAAATGTGATTAATGGGACTACCAAATAGGCCGCAAGCCACCGATCCATTTTTCTGTTGCAGCAAGCTGGCGGCCAATGTAATCAACAATTCACATGTGAGAGGCCAGTAAGGACAAAGGGTGTCTGTCAAGGCATTGATGTGCATGACATGCAATGGGTCTTAATCCTCAATGGCATTGCATGATCCTTGATCACAACTGCAAAGTTTTCAAGGTAGCTGGCCAGTTTTAGAAAAGGCATCTAAGGGAGCAAACTTCCTCTCTATGTTCCCAAACTCTACAATGTCCAAAGGGAACAGATATTTCCATTCTCTGCTGTCAACCCTGTCACCTGGCTGGATGTGCATGAATGAGATTGAAAACAGTCATGGACCGCATACTGCTTGCAACAGGCCAGGGCTTCTTGTTGCTACTTTTACCGCCTGCGTTTTGGGCTGGCTGGATTTTCCAGTCCTGTGCGCTGCCTGGCAAACCCCCACCCTTTCGCAGCATTTCCAATCCCACCCCGAATCCCAATTTTCAATTCTGCTTCGATTGGTCCTTACTCCTTTCCCTCCAGCTTCAGCGCGTGGCCGCCATAGTCAGGCAGCACCACGGTGTCCCCCTCCTTCACGTCCATTGGAATCAGATTTCCAGAGTCGTCTCGCCGGCCGGGCCCCGCGGCAATCACGACGCCCTCGTTGACCTGCGCCGATGCCCGTCACGTCGGTCATGGCAGACACCACTCGCCAGACATCCAGCCCACGAAACCCGGGCACTCGTCGGAGCCACAACAACTACAGAACCGATCTTTTGCCATCATCCCTTCATCGCCTCGCCTGGCGCACCGCGGCAAAACAAACCGACACGCGAACAACGCTATTCGCTGCTGCACACGGCTCGATCAACAGGCGCCAAGCCCATCCCCACGCATATCCAAGTCCAAAATATCCCCAAGGTGTGCAAGGCGAAGTCAGGTTGGACCCTGATTGCACAGGGTGCAGATCTGAAACTCGAGCCTTGCGCAGACCACCCCAGAGATTCCATGCGCCACGCCCAATGCCCCTTGCCCTCCCTTGCCCCCTCTCGCCCCCGGGAGCGCAACGCGCGCCCCAATGCCGCGAGCGACCAATCGATCGCCGCCCCCGCGCCGCACCTTGTTCACCGCCGACTCGGGCAGCAGGACGCCGCCCGCCGACTTGGTGGGCGCGGCCACACGGGAGACCAGGATCCGATCCAGCAGGGGGATGAGCCGCCGCGACATGGGGTCCCGGGCGCCTACGGTCGGGGTGGGGGTGGCGGCGGGCCTCGGTGCTGGGGCGGGGCTCAGGGGGGCGCGAGCGCGCGTCGCGAAGGTTCCCGACTAGGCCGCAGCGGCCGGCGAGCGCCGCGGCCAGCTATGAAGGCTGATGGGTTTGATGCGATGGTGGGCGCAATGATGAGCGAGGCACTGTTTTTTTGACTGGTGTCAGGTGGCTGGGAGGCTCGCCGCTGCGGGCGGAGGTCGGTGGGAACCCATCCAGGCACGAGATGGAGGCAAAGGAGCTATTTGAACGCTTTCTTTTAGTTACTTCGGAAGTTTATTTACTGTACTTCAGAGTTTACTTGTAGTTCAGGAATAGCTTGTGCTTCAGAAGCCTACATTACTTGCAAATGTGTATTTTTTATTTTGGATTCCAAAATATGACATCACATTTCAGATGTTGTGGTTCTGTAGGTGTTGGCGATGTCAAGCATGCACATATACATTGTGCACTGTACACGTGGGGGCAAGATTGCAGAGAATCCTGAGGTCCCAAATGCGAATCTGTGTTTCCTTTTTATGTCGAATATGATAATCTTTCTTTCCCTTCGAGCTCCGGATGCTCGTGGCCCAGCTGGCCTTAGAGCCCATCCAACATCACTCAGTGCAGGCCAAGTTTTCTGCTTTCTGTGTTGGACAACAGACTTGACCTTTTGATACTGAGGAGCAGGGCTGCTCACCTGCAATCCAGACTCGGTGGAGGGCATCAACATAAGGATATGATCGAGAATATGGATTCCTTAGTAAGGATAACTCTGAACACCTAGTATTCAAACTGTCTGGGAACAACCAAAACAGATTCCAGCCAGGGGCGCAACAACAATGCCTTCATTGGTGTACTGAAGGCACTGGTGCTGTGCCCCTTGTTGGAATCAATTTTGCCTGTTCCCCAAGCCTTTGTTAGAATTTATTTAATAGAAGAACCACATAGTCTGCGATCACGACACCTATCTAGGGGACAGCAATATCGGTAATGAAGTGTATCGTATTATGTTTAACCCCTCCGGATTTTGGAATTTCCACGACGCTATTTTTCCTCTGTATTTTTCCGGCAGGGCGTTAAGTTGGGGCTCTGCATCATGGTCACAACTGGAATGGCGACTCCACAACAGCATCTTCATTGAGTTTGCATGGCCTCAGAATCCAATTTTCCACCACAGTGATTCAGGCGTCTCGGGCCATCCAACGCCACAAGTAGTCTAGAGAGCCTCGCATTGCGGCTAGGGTTGCTCCATATTTTCATGGCACTGTTACGTTTTTTGACTTACTCCATATATAAAGGCCAAACGTTACATTCGAATGCGGAAGGGTGTTACATACTACTATTTTCGTCAAAGAAACGACACCCAATACACTTGGCATTGAGTGAGATGGCATCAATCTCCACACGTGGCTTAACATTTTCTGTGATCCTAACTTAAATATTCTGATTAAATGTATTGGGAAAGACAAGAAAAATCGCTGAACTTGCAACTTGGAGGCGACATCAGGCTCATTTGATGCACAATAATTGTTCACAATGCATTGGTACAACCAATTTGGCTGTTAATTACTTGCGATTTTGGGAATGGGGTAGCGAGCGTTGACGACAATAATTTAATACAACGCAAAATATGTGCATCGCATAAGGCTCTGATGAATTGAACAAAGCTGTTTACAGACTGTGATACTCAAGAAAACGAAATGGCATTGGCATTTAGATGATGTGCATGGCAACACATACACCCTGCAGCCAACGGGTCACCACAAGGAGACAAGAAAACAAAACAAGCTTCCTTGCTGATGGACTGAAAACATTGCTCACAAAATCCGCAATAGGAGGCTAGTCTTCTCGTAAAGCTGCAGGGAGAAGAGGTGCAATGTATGCAACGTAGATGAACCTTTTCCAATGCTGTTTCCTCCGCCAAATTCAGTGAAGGGTTCCATGCAATTCTGTGGTGCGCTTTCGAAAACCGCTCTAAGCTTTGGTGCTTAAGTGGGAACACCTATTGTATTTGTCAAAAGTCACGTTCTTCCAAGCTGAAAATCGCAGCCCAGCACGGGGAATGGAATTCATACATTTGCTCATCCGTTGAGATGAGGATGTCAATTTTACGTTCTGGTTAGCCAAACGTCACACACTGACTATGGGTGATGTAGATGTTCATCTAATGGAATTTGGGGGCACTGTCGTATATGCCGATGCCACTAGTGCATCACTCTCGATGTAGAATCAAATGCAATTGTGGCAAATCTTGGCCCGTTATACTACAACATTTAAAAGGTATAAAGAAATCCGATTGAATTGCAGAACACCAAAAGGCAACAAATCGCCTGATCCACCACCACTGACTTCCACCCCGCATTTTTGAGTGGCCCAATGCAAGTAATTCTAGACAGAATGCGCCAAATTTGTTAATGTCAAGTGGCTGAAGGTATCTGACATCACAACAGATTCAGACGGACGTGTTGTGGCACGACCTCCCAATGGCCCACTACAGCTCAACCATCTTCAAACTCGCCTCACGTGCGATAAACCCCCGGAATTGTACACTCAACACTCTGCGCTACCCCAGTCGGCTTTTCAGTGCTCTTGGATTTGTCGCCTACTTAGCGT